CGGTTGCATTCTAAGGGAATGCCGTGTATAGCATTATAGGTCACTGTATTGAGATAGGATATGGTCTCTTTTTGCATCCTACTCATGGAGATGAGTTTGCTTCTCGCCGGAAGATTCTCGCGTTGTCTCTAATCTTGTCACTGACGTCGCTTTAGAGAATTGAAATATTTATACCTTCATCTGTAGCACTCATCGGAGGCAGATTTCAGCCTTGGTTTAGTCACTCCTGTAAAGTGCATTACGCTATAAACAGGAATGTTATCAGGACTGGGCTGACGTATCAGCGGTCCACCCTTAAAAATAAGTATAATTTCACCTCCAGGTCCTTCAAAAGAGTTATTGCCAAGGAAAAGTCAAAGCACTTTGGCAGAGTTGGTGATAAACTAGTTCGCCTTCCTTCGAGAATCTATGCATTCTGGTGTCTTGCCAAGACTGTCCAAAGAAATTTCTGTTGGCCATTGGCTACATTGTTGGCTTCATTTATGCTTTCAACTTGACTCTCAATGACAGGGGAAATACCCGCATTTTAGAGCCCCATATCGGACGTGAAGTTCACACAATGCTCAGTAAAACACTCTTTGATATCCAGAAATCGAGTGGGACTGACGAAAACTCATCCAATTGTGCTCGAGACGTGTTCTTCGGATGTTTCACCTGTTATTACGCGTATCTTTTGATATTCCTACTCTTCATTTGTGTCTCGAAGACAATTTTTTTTTGTCTTCGGCCAGCTCACAAGCTTTTGTGCACTCAATCCCTACAAAAGGTAACCAGCTACAGACCTATAGTCATCACCTACTTGTTCTCTAAAATAATGGAATCGATCAATAACGTCAGCTCATGTGTTACCTGTAGGAGCCTTGGCGGTTAGTTTGGACACATGTTAGGCACAAATCACTTCTTTCAAAACTTTGTGTTTGAGAACTGCTTGTTGCTTTGTTTTTCTCGAAGGTTATGTATAACATCCATGTCACACCTGTGCCGGGAGTTGTTGGGAGCACTATGTTCAAAATTGTTGACGAGTATGTTTATCTAGGATAAATTCTCCGACCGGTAAGTCCATACTCTACCCAGCGGTCAATCTCAACGATTTAACTTCTTAGCCGGGCAATGTTCTGAACATTACTACAATATCTTTTCGTCAAATATATCTCAAAATTTGAAAACAAAAGTGCACAACCAGTACACGTTCTGTTTCCAGTATGAATGAATCAATATGAATCTGAGACATGGTCTTTTACTGCTGGCCGTATAAGGTCTATAGGCAAGCTACGGTGAGAGCTATTATTGGAGTTTCTGTTCGGGTTCGTAATGCGAATCTCTGCAATAGAAGTATTTGCATGGCCAAAAAATAATTGCACCAGGTCTGGATGTTTATCCAGGTAAATTTTAGATGGATAACTATCTGAAATTGATGTATACAGATTTTTTGAGTTACTATCAAGCAACAGAGCCACGTAAAGCTGGACAAAACCGCTAATACTGAGGCCCACACAAACGACTCTCAGCATCTGGCCCTGCGCTTTATTAATGATTATAGGAGAACATAAGCAGATTGAAAACTGTTCTTTTGAAAAATCGGCGATTAGATACAACCCAACCAAAAATTAATAAAAACATTACAAATGAAGATCACTTGAATAAGTGACTGACTGTTTTTTCTTTTCTTCTATGTTTATTTAATAAATACCTATCTACTATTTTCTTCTAAGTTTAATAAGGATTTTTAAAATACAAAGTCCATCCAATCGTTTGGTCGAAGAACGCAGAGAAAGCAGCCGAACAAAAAGTTTTTCTTCCGATTTGTGCACTTGTTACGTCAAGCGCGTACGTTACTCACTTTAACTCTTCTTCTCTTTCTTTTATTGGCCCGTAAAAGTCCACTGCTGGACACAAGATTCTCCAGTTTTAGGTACTGTTTTTTTAATCGACATGCTTCGCAGGCGGATTGACGATTGCAAAGACAGTAATATACGTCTGACGTAAATGAAATCGTTTACCGCAGCATTCAGCATTCCCGTAGTCAACCCTTAGTACATCCGCAGGACAAAAAGTGGTGATCAGATAACAGCATAGGTGGTTAAGGTTTCTCGTTATATATATATATATATATATATATATATATATATATATATATATATATATATATATATATATATATATATAACTATGTATAATACTATATATATAGTTAGTAGTAAGTTATTAAAGTTTATTACCAGTATTTTTTTCCCTTTTAATTGTGATAATACAAAAAGAAGTTAAAGTATCCAAGTTTAATAAGTGTCCATTAATGGTTACCGACAGCTCGACAGCCCGTAGGAATAATAATTATAATAAAGCGAACGGAAATGTACAGAACCACTAACATGACATGTAAGTTACCGACTGACAATAGCGAGAAGATAACAAGACAGGAACCTGTTTAGAATTCTTCTAATCGAATATGGTCTTTAATCTTTATGGTTGTCTTTACCACGATTATTATATTTTAAGGGGTCTCGTGTGACTTGCACTTTGTGTATGTCGAAGTGATCCCGTTTGAGGTGTCGAACTATCGAATAATAGCTTTACGTTGAAGTGATTGATTAATGACAGACCCGGCGAAAACAGACTAGCTACCTAATTAAATACTCCTGACAGTAACGGCCTGAGCGACGGCGGTGTAATGTGAAGATAGTCTGAGAATGATTAACTAGCAATCACTGTCTTTCCCTCTAGTACCTATACAAAGATATTGAACTGAAATGTTCATAGCCTAACTGGAACATTTCAACGATTGGATGTAATATAGGTAAGCATAAATTACATGTTCCTACATGTAATTTGGGGGACAACTAGTCCGACTACGTAAGTCCACCTTCGACCGAGAGGTCAATTCAACTTCGAACATTAAAACCTAAAAACAAGATTGTACAACGAGTGGTGTTGCCAGTGATGACTTATGGATCTGAGACGTGGTCCTTCACTGCTGGCCGTATGAGGAAGCTGAAGGTCGCTCAGCGAGCTATAGAGAGGGCTTTGCTTGTGGTTTCTCTGCGTGATAGACTTAAAATTGAGGATATCCGCATTAGAACCAGAGTAACCGACAAAGCTCAACGGATTGGTAAGGTGAAGTGGCAATCGGCTGGCCATATATCTCAAAGAACCGACAACCGATGGGGAAGAGTTCTCGAATGGCAGCCTTGTACCGGTAGGCGAAGTGTATTGCCACCCCCACCCCTCCTGCAAATGCAGATGGAGTGACGACTTGGTAAGACATGTAGGAAGTCGACGGATGCAGATATAGATGTTGCTTTGTAGCATTCCTTGGGTGAGGCATAGTACATATGTTCAGCAGTGGTCTTGTGAAGAGGTGTAATGAATGAAAAAAAAATACAGTTCTGTCAGTTGAGTTAGTCGTTAATAATTATTGATAATGATAAGATAATATAGCTGTAGTGAATAGAGGTAACGTTACATGTTAATAAGTTTTAATATTTTTATGTATTGAAGTAAGTAAGGCAAGAAGGCTGGTTCTTTTCTCGCTCAAAGGCTAAGCATAACAGGGAGCAGGGCTATTTTAGATTCAAGTTTTAGTTTTTTTTTATTATTATATACGACATAATATAATGGATATTATTATGTTCCTAAATCCAATTAAAGTGTACAATTTTATAAGTAGGTGTACAGGTGTATAGTATAATAATCGTAATTGATATCAATCTATATACAAAAAAAATATTTCTTAATGAAAAAAGGCAACGAAAACGTACATTTTTGATTGGTGAATACATAAAACACTGACGTACTAGAGTATGTCCCATAGACTTAGAATATACTGGCGTACAGTATATTCTAAGTCTATGGTATGTCCTGTGTTTCTCTATGGGTTAATATCGAATTAATGTTTAAATTTTTATTATGTAATTTATTAGAAATTAAGTTGTAGCACGAATGGGTCAGCTTGACCAGGGAAGGACCACGCTCTCACAGAATACCAGCGTAAAATAGCGCATTAATGCTGCTGTGTTTCGTATGGTGAGTGTAGAGAACCGGAGACCCTTTTTACTGGAAAAGAGGCATTCCATCTTAGTCCTCACGGCTGACAACGCATCTGCATTTTGATTCGCATACGAGAATAGATGTAGATGTCTATGGGCCACAGCAACCACTTACGAGTACCATCAGGTGGACTGTGTGCTCGTTTGTCACCATTATCCTATAAAAATAAAAAATAAATTACAAATTTCATATCAAACATTTAACACATCTTAGTGTTCAATCTTATCAGCTCTTTTTCTCGTAGGAATATGTAAAAGTTATATATTTCTTAGTTTTTACTTTTTCTTCGGTTTATTTCATAATTTAAATTGCGACTTGTTTTTCATTGTACAATCAATAATGCCAAAAATTACACATAAACATGCAATGAATTTCTCAATAGCCAATTGATTTCGTTGCTTCCAGTATGTTATATTTTATGTTGCTCGTGCAAAGTATTCTTAATTAGTAGCACCGTTAACAATGAAATAAGTTAATTCAATTTTATAGCCAATTTATGCGAATTAAAAATTAACATGAAGAAAACAAATTGAAAGCCAATATTTTAAAAATTAGATAAAATAAGCATTTTGGCCATTGGAACAGTTTTCACTTCTCATCAACTTTCTTATTCTTTGAGGAATCAAAGAAGGTGAGCGTCATGTAGTCAATTTTAGTATTAATTCTCCAATTCTAATCAATTTAAATATGATTTTCATATAATTAAAATATTCACATCACAGAGGCAATCATTTATCGCCATTATTTTTGAAACATTTCATAATGTTGTTTTAGGACATTAAATAATACTGGCATCGTAAAATTTTTTTATGTAGTGTTTAAATAATACTGTCAAAGAATTTGTCATTATTTTGACATATTGTAGCCATTATATTTCCTTAGCGTAGTGATCTATGAACTATTTATTTCGTTATTTATATTCTCGAATGATATGAAAATTTAAGATCTGCATTATAATGGTGTATTACTACACGTCTGATAATGTAACAATGTTAAAAAATATTATCACTGATTACGAAGACGCCACTGAAATGTCGCCTTGCGAATATATACAACTTTATATTAAAAATTGTGTTAAACAAACAGATGATTTAAAACTTCGCTGGATTGTAAAAACTTTTTTAGATATTGATAAGCACGGTCAATTTTTAAAAGAAATCATTGATTATTTGCCTGTTGAACTGCCAACTGAAGATAAAGAATATTTTAAAATAATACTACATGGTATAATTTTTCAAATTTCAACATCTGATATCACTCTACTTTATAAATGCCTTTTTAATTTAAGTAAACAACTTTTGTTAACCCTCACGAGTTCATTAAAAGATGACAACTTTTTAGCACACTTATCTCAAAAAGCGCATTCGATTTTTGACACAAACTATACAACTGAAAAAATAATCAATCCGATTTTACAGTGGCAGCCTGCTTTGGATCAGATAGCACAAACCTATTCTGAGTATTTAAGTAAAACGGAAAGCTTGAGAACTAAGCAACCGACTATACCTGTTGAGCCAAATGTACTGAAAAGAAAAGGTAAAGGTAAATATACAAAGTCCTTAAAGTTGTGTACACCAAGTACGCCGCCGAATTCTGCTCTTCATAAGTCAAGACGGATGCTCACAAAAAGTGCTATTGATATAAGGCTTCAAAAAGCATATGATGATAATAAACAAAAAACGAAGAAGCTTTTGGAAGATATAAAATCCAAAACTTACCATCATATGGAGAGAAATTCCAATAAAGTTCTTACAAATAGCTTAAAAGTTCAAGATGAAACAGAACAAGGCTGGAAAAAATCATTTCCGAAATCAAATCAATTAATTTATACTAAATTATCGCCAATACCAGTTAAGGAAACTGCAGCTACGTTAAAAAGATTTAATCAAAGAATTAAATTAACAGAAGAAGAAGAAATACAATGGTTGCAAGATTTGATAAATGACTGCAAAAATACAGTTAAAATTCAAGAACTAGAGGAATATGATCGTAATGAAAGGGAAAGAGAAAGGTTAATTGATATAGAAAAAAAACATTTACAAGGCCAAATTTCTTTTGAAGAGGCAGTATTAGCCAAAAAAAAAGTGCAAGAAGAAAATAAGAGGAAATACGAAGAACTTCTTAAACAAAAAGAATTATGGAATAAAGAAATTGAAAGATGGAATGAAGAACAAATGGAAATTAACCGAAAAATTTTTGAAAAATGTTCGTTAATAGAACTAAATGTAATAGAAGCTAGAAAAAATGCCGTTAATAAAAAGAAAGAAGTTGCAGAAATTATTAAGAAAGAGTCCGAGTCCATGCTTCTAAAAGCCTTAAATGAGAAAAATAAAGAATTAAACCGTAAAATTCAGATGATTAAAGAAATTAAGATCTTACACACGATAGCCAAAAGGGCAAGAATTTCAAAAATAGTAGACTTAACAGAAACTTCTGGTTTAGGCTTACTCTGTGAAATGTCTATAGCGGAATTACAAGAAAGATTATGTTCAATGAAGATGACTATTAAGGAAGAACTGGAAACAAAAAGCAAACTTATAAAAGAAAGAAATATTGCTGTTAAAAAATCATTAGACGAGGCAAGAAAGAATATCTTAACATTCAAAGAAGAAAGAAAATTAATGCGTGAAAAAAGCAGGAAACCAAGAAAGTTAACTATTGACATATCATCCAAGGAAATAAATGATCTGAAAAGTACTTTAGAAGAAAAACGTAAATTGCGCCTTAAGCTTTTGAATTAAAAAAAATTATAATAATTTAATTTGCCTTTTTTCAATTTATTTAATAAAATTATTTAGAAAGCACCATAAATGTAGTTTGTATATAAAAATGAGTTATATAATTTTTATAAAATTATTCAGCATTGTAGTAACAATTCTTTCATTCTATAACAAATGTTAAAAATTCATGGTGCGATATTTACACACACCACCAGAGTTAGCGGGACCTGAACACCTGAACACCTGAATTTTACTATGCAATTTATTCCTGCAGTGCGTGCGGTTGTTTGTGCCTGCTGCTGCGCCGGCGAGCAACTATTGGAATTACGAGAACACCAGTACGTGTTACGGTCGTAGATTGCTGACGGCGCTTGGCCTGGCACGGCCTGGATTTTATATCGTTAATGTATAATTGATTCCCCGATCCCTAATAAAATAACCCGCCTCTTAACCGCCGGAATTGCTATCATCCCTCTCCAAATTTGTAAACGTTACCGTCTCCGTGGCTGGCATGATTCTACTCACTAACCGTGGTTTCGTGAGATTTTAAATAAAAAAGCAGTTTATCTATCGCTGCGGATGCGGGTGAATATTTGCTCCATGAGTTCTTAGCTTAAGAGAGTAGTGCAGTATAAATTGCATTATAGGTCTACGTTTGAATACCAGCTGAGTACTTGTGTAGTAATAACATTTTTCTTTATTAAATCAGACAAGCCCCGCAACCAAACCTTTAATTTGGTAATATATTTTAGAATTATAAAGCAAAATGATATTTGCGTTTATGTACCTTTGTGTCAATTTTGTTTACATAGGTATTATTCTTATAACTTATAGAATGTAATACCTTCTTTATTGAATTGAATAATTGTTGCGTAAGTATATTGATAATTAGTGTTGAATACAGGAAATTAAAATCAAGAATAATGCGCATATTAATATTGCAAGCGAAATATTGTGATAAGACTAATGGTGTCTTCAGGCAGTCCCGATCGATGCGCATGCGTGAATTGGTTGCTGTACTTAATTAGAACCTGGCAAGAGAGATATTAGTGATTCAAATTTATAGACTAGTCTGTCGCTTCCTATAATATATGACGGTACAATGACTTCATTTTAGTTCAGTTGGTTTTGTACTAAAATAATTTAGCGTATTTCTTTTGTTAGAATCGACATTTGCTTGCTACAGTGGGTCGCTATATGAAACATCTTTATTATTAATCTACGAAAATCAGCAGAATATAAACTTTTGTAAAAATTCAGCTTGTTGAAGTATTAGCGCCTTCAACATTTCGAAAGCAACATATTACTACAAATTATGTGACAATATTCTCAAAATCTAAAAAACTAGTCGATATAATTTGGATTAAAGCCATAAATAAGACGAGGTCGTCTGTTCATTTGTATCGGTGTATAATTTAAATTCTTTAACGCCAATGTTCAAGATTACGCGGTGAGATAGAGACGCGGGCGCCCGTGTCGCGGCGACAACCACCAAATAAATTTATATTTCCGACCGACACCGAACCGACTTCTCTCTTTGTAGATAATTCGGCCGGTAACGTTGAATGACTCTATTAAAACAGCTTCCCTTTTAGGGATAAATGTCGACTTAAGGCTGTGTCGACGTTTCACCGTATGTATAGTGCGGATGAAAACTACAAGCGTAAATATATTTTTATAACTTGGATTTTCGTTTACACCTATTGCAACAACGTCTTATTATCATAATAACGATATTTCTATCCAATTACATGGTATAATAACTCCAGTTGTTCTATTTTATTATATAATGTTAGCTTTTAAATTAAATCCATATTTATAGTTTCAATGCCGTACATTAAGATTTTATTTTGTTTTTAACAAAAATAAATATTTGCGTGTACCTTTATGTCTGACTTTTTAACTTCAAGTGCCCCATGTCTAATTGTAGCGGTAACTAATAAAATAAAAACTAAATAAATACTACGAATAAGAGCCATCCTTCCAAGATTTACCTGATAACAGTAAAACGTCAATAACCACCTAATTGGGAGAGAACACTCTGCCCACAATCACCGGACCCCATCCCAAGTGAGAAACAAATAAATATTGTAACACACATCGAGATAATTTGACCGATAACTTAATGTGCTTACATTTCAATCCTGCTCATGGTTTTATGGGATACTACCTAAAATATTATCCGTTTTTAATCTATTTTTTATAACAGAAACTAACGACAGTAAATTATTTTGGTATACTTACCGGTCAAAGATTTGTATTTATAGACAAATCTTATTATGATGGCATAATCATGCACTTGATAAAATTTTGACATCGGAAGAACTGCTGCGCATGGGCATGTTTTTCATAAAATGAGCGATCAGACGGCAGTTTGTTGTTGATATAGGCCACAAGAACAATAAATTTGTTCGTGGTAGAGCCATGCTGCAGCTATATCAGTAGTATAGTTGTAGCACGAATGGGTGGGCTCGACTGGGGAAGGACCACGCTCTCACAGAATACCAGCTTAAAATAGCAGTTTAACCCTGCTGTGTTTCGTATGGTGAGTGTAGAGAACCGGAGACCCTTTTACTGGAAAAGAGGCATTCCATCTTAGTCCTCACGAGTGACAACACATATGCATTTTGATTCGCAAACGAGGATAGATGTAGATGTCTATGGGCAACCACTTACCATCAGGTGGACTGTGTGCTCCTTTGTCACCCTATCCTATAAAAAAATTCTTTTTTATAGAATTAGCGAGCACACAGCCCACCCGATGGTAAGAGGGTGGTATGCTCATAGACATCTACATCTATCCTTGATTAAAAATTAAAATGCAGATGCATTGTCAGCCTCCGTGTCAGTCATCAGGACTAAGATGGAATACCTCGTATTCAGTAAAAAGGGTCTTCGGTTCTTTACACTCGTCCTACGCAACACAGCGGCATTAAGCTGCTACTTCACGCTGTTATTCTGTGAAAGCGAGGTCCATTCCCAGTCGAGTAGACCCATTCGTGCTACAACCATAAAATAGCTGCAGCATGGCCTACCATGTAAAATCCTAATCTAAAAAAATATCTAATATTTTTATTAAAAGTAATTGAATCATCACAAGTGTGGTATAACAATAAGAGGACTCATTACCCTTCGTTTTTTTCCGTTGTCGTTATACCAAAAAGATCTTGTGTTTAAGCTAATCATTGTAAAATACCCAGACCGGTGACGGGGAACAGGGTAAAAGTTGCCAGATGTCTGGCACTGCGAACGTCCATTCTGTTAAAGCAAATGCATATAATAGATTTATACGTGGTAAAGCCATGCTGCAGCTATATTAGTGGTATAGTTGTATCACGAATGGGTCGGCTCGACCGGGGAGGGACCACGCTCTCACAGAATATAGCGTAAAATAGCAGCTTAACGCTGCTGTGTTTCGTATGGTGAGTGTAGAGAACCGGAGACCCTTTTTACTGGAAAGGAGGCATTCCATCTTAGTCCTCATGGGTGACAATGCATTTGCATTTTAATTCGTAATAGAGGATAGATGTAGATGTCTATGGGCCACAGCAAGCACTTACCATCAGGTGGACTGTGTGCTTGTTTGTCACCCTTATCCTAAAAAAAAAAGAGAACATGACCAAATTATCCAGAAATGGTATTTTACGTGGTGATGATGAATAATGAAAAGAATTTAATATTAAAACCTGCTTTGGGCTACCAAGCACAGGGGCTAAGCGCTCGCTTTAAATTTCACAGTACGCTAGCAACCCGGGTTCAGTTTCCGCCGGCACTAATGAAATTGTTAAATACAATTTGAGTGCTGCTAACCACGTGCTCAGCGGTAAAATAAAACATCGTGAGTAAACTGGCATTTCTGAAGAATGTATTATACGCTAAGGACAAAGTGAAGTCCGTGCACACACACAAGAGCAGTGCAGTAGACTAATTATTACACCACAAACCATTTAATAAAAAGGAGGCCTGTGAGTTTGTCTAGTTAGGTAACACTGTGAGACATTCCATCTTGGTTCTCAATGCGTTCTTTGAAGTTAGTTGCGGGTATCCATAGGCTATAGTAGCCCCATATCATTAGGCGAACTCTTTTGTCACTGTATTATAATCAAAAACATTTCTAATAAATGTTACACTTAGAAGCGAAGTGTTCTCAGAGTGTATGTATTAGATAAATGATCTCAAGTTTGCTATGTCTTATCCAGCAGTTTGTCAATCATGTGGACATTTTAAGTAAATCCTGTAAATTTTTAATCGGCTTCAAAAAAGTAGGAGGTTTTCAATTCGTATGTTTATATATATATCTTATGTATGTTCGGGTATAACTCTGTCATATAGGTATGTACAGATTTGCAAAATTATTTTTTTGTTCGAAAAAAGTTTATTCCGAAATGGTCCCATTTAAATTTCGTAAAGATCTGATGATGAGTTTTGGAGACCGACAACGGAACTAATCAAAAAATGCCAGCAAATCATTCGCGATTGCTGCCATCACTATTTATGCATTGTTTACGCAATCACACAACATAACATGACGCCTGTACCCTCAAAAGGGTGAGGAAAACATCTCGAGGAAACCAGTATATCTGAGAAATAAGAAAAAAACATATTTCGAAGACACGTGAAGTTTGCCAACACCCATTGGGGCAGCGCGGCGGACATATCCTTGCCATAAAACCGTCTCAGAAATGAGACGAGGCCTGTGCCCAGCAATAGAACGTATATAAGATGTAAGTTTTTCTGTTTATGTTTATGAATCGATTTAATTTAATTTATATTGTAGTCAGTTGTACAAAATTTAAAATGTTACCACTGGTTAAAATAAATTCGATTTTTTAGTAGTGAATAATTTCATTAATAACTACATAGATCAATAAAAAGCATAATATCAAAGTTTAAGGAAATCTTACAATCACGCTGCCTATTAATTGTCAACCGTTCATCGCCGCGCGAGCAGCAGTGTTACAGTGTCCGCCCGGTGCCTCAAACGGCACAAAATTTATTGTTATTGGATCGGCGCACGTACA